CCCCCCCCCAAAAAAAAACAACACCAAAAAAACCCCCGACAACAACAAAACAAAAACAACCCAACAACAACAAAACAACAACAAAAATCAAAGGGAAAAACAAAACAAAACGAAACAACAACAAAAAAACACAACAAAAAACAAAAAACAAAATAAAATGCAAAAAACACACCCGAAACAATCCAACACTATGAGAGTGAAATCGATGGGAAAATAGCGGAGAAAAAATGATTTGGAGGTCTTAACTCCTCAAGCTTCAACTTTTCATATCACTGGTGAAGTTTGAAATCCAAATGTATGTGGAGAGTACATGAAGTGGCAGTTCAAATAGTGCATGGCTGGCCTATATCATTATTATAAAGGTCGACAGTGATGAGGAAAACCACAGGGGTAATTTTGTTGTTGTGGTACGTTTATGACAAATTATTGTAGGTATCAATGGCGTTCATGTTATAATGTGGCGAATAATTGAATAATGCGAAACTCATGAACTGTTACTTGGCGGTGATCTTTGCCCTGCACTCTCCAACAACATTAAGTGGTGTCGGTGGCCTTGTTGATAGGCTACCGGACTTGCAATTGTGAGATTGCGAGTTCGGGGGTTCGAGCCTCATCTCGTTCCGACGTTGTCTCCTTGGGAAAAGCACTTAACACGAATTTCCCGCTTGGCTCGGTCCTTTCAGAGATGGATGGACGTTAGACTCGGATGTCCCGCCTCTGATATAATATAATAGTCCAGATAGGGGAGTTAAGTTAAACCTATACCATTTCACCATTTTCACCAACATTATTCCAGTTAGAATCTCTTTAAGGACGTAGTGGGCACATGATAAATATTATAAGATAAGATAAGATGAGATAAGATACGATAAATCTTTATTGTCCAGATCCTGGCATATTGGTTTGGTGTTTCACCCCAACGTACACACACACATACACACATACACACACACACACACACACACACACACATTCATACACACAGACACTCACACAGACACACAGACACACACACATGCACACATGCAGGCTTAGAGTCACATGCATAATATAAATGAACAGTAATACCAGGGGGAGACAAAAAGTAATGCAAGTTCGTTTAAAACTTAAAGAAAACAGAACACACTTGCAACTATGATACCTCAAATTGAAGCAGAGCATCTGAGGATCAGATTTTTATTTCTCAACATAGTCTCCATTTCGTTCAATAGCCACTGTCCACCTTTTACTAAGTCCACCTATGCCAGCTTCGTAAAACTGAGCAGGTTGGTCGTAGGGGTACTGCAGTCTTGATTTCTCCATCGTTTCTACAGTGTTGACCTCTCGCTGGGTTTTTTTTCTAGGACCGAAAAGGTGAAAAGGAGCTAAATCAGGAGAATAAGTCGGGTGGGGCAGTATTTTCCACATAAACTAGGTGATTATCTACCTTGTCTGATACTCGAATGCCGGCGGGCATTGTCATGGTGGAAAAACACACTTCCCGTGTTCAAATTTGGTCGGACTCGTCGATTTGTCGCTTTCCGTCGTTCAATGTTTCAATGTAGGGTTCAGAATTGACAGTTGCTCCTCGTGGTTTTAAAAAAAAATCTGTGAGAAGCACCCTACGAACGTCCCAAAACACAATTGCAATGATTTTTCTGGCTGACTCCTTTGGATGGTGCTTGTCTGATAAACGTATGGACACGTCTTCCTCTTCTTCTGGTTCATTGCACATACGTCCTGACCCACCTATATACAGTGCCAAAATCTAGAGCTTGGTCCTTGTAAACATTTTTAAAGTCAGTTTTAGATGTTATCGGTGGATTCTCCTTCTTATACAAGAAATTCAACCACTGCTCTTTACCCCTGACAGACCTCCAAGAGGGTAGCCATTTTGATGTGACGTCATTTGGGCCAAAATTAAAGAAACTTAAATTTTAACAATTTGAGTTCAAAAGTATATAAGCAAGTACTTGTGAACTGAATTTCATTAAATTTGA